CTTCATGTCTCTTCTACATCAACATGTGTCCCCTCTTCTTCATGTCTCTTCTAATTCAACACGTTTCCCCTCTTCTTCATGTCTCTTCTAATTCAACACGTTTCCCCTCTTCTTCATGTCTCTTCTACATCAACATGTGTCCCCTCTTCTCCATGTCTCTTCTACATCACCATGAAGCCACTTATTGATCTTAAAATGTGTTTTTTTTTAAAGCCTACTTTTTGTATTTAAATGCTTCTTTTTCACTCAGGATTCTTCCATCATCGACTTCTACCCCGACGACTTTGCCATCGATCTCAACGGCAAGAAATACGCCTGGCAGGGTGAGTCGCTTCCCTCCAAATAACTCTTCTTTAAATCAACCTTTGAGAAGCCCTGTTCCTATTTTTATATATAAACAAACCTAATCAAATGTTTTTTTTAAAGGTTTAAATGTCTCCCTAGAAAATCCACTTTCCCCCATGCACCGTCATTCATATCCCATGCTTGTTTCTCATTGGACGGCACTTTAACTTCCTGTATCCGTGCTGTTATTTTGAAGGAGTGGCCTTGTTGCCGTTTGTCGATGAACGCAGACTGTGGGCGGCTCTGGCGGACGTTTACCCCGACCTCACTACTGAGGAACGTGAGTACAAAGACACTATTTAAATGAACTAAATGTTAGGGTTGCCAGAAACTGACCATGATCAAAATCGATTATTCGGCAGCCCTGGCGAATAATCGATTATTCGACCGACCCTCCAAGTTTACAGTAAAACAAACTGGTGGTGTGACCAATGGCCATTTACAATTATTATTACTATTATTAGCATTAGTCTATATTTCGGTTGAAACTAAGCCAGAAAAAAAAAAAAAAACATAAATAATAATTAAAATATATATAAATAAAATCGATTTTTAAAAATAATATTCGATTATGGAGACTAACGAATATTAGAATAATCACTGGCATCCCTACTAAATGTATGTATTAGTGTTGGGAAGAAACGTAGCTTATCATGATTGTCATTGATTTTTAAGTTTTATCAAGCGTCTGTCATGAAGTTTGCAATCGAACACACAGACGGCAGTGGAAGAGATGAGATGGCACAGAACGTGTTATTTATAGTCGACATTATTCAGATTACATTGATCACTTACTATATTCATGTATGTCTTCTTGCAGAGAGGAGGAACAGTCTTGGCAGCGATCTGATGTTTGTCGGGAAATCTCACCCGCTGTTCGACTTCATTCACGAACTCTACCGCACAGAATCTAACGAGGTAACAACGACACACGTCAAATCAAATCAAAGTGACCGCGTTGTGCCGTCTTTAGAAGTAATTATTGTTGGTTGTAAAAAGCTTTGAAATGGTGGACGCACTTTTAGACAGGGAGCCACAAAGGGGCTGATGGGAAATGTAGTTTTAATGTCGACAACATGTTTTGTACTTTCCTTGAGTTACACTTTTATACTTCTATATCTCAGAAGGATATACCGTCATGTTTTACTTCATTTATTTTAATGCACTCAGATTAAATATTCAAAAAGATAACAAACAAATCCAACATCATATCGTTTTCTAGATTAAGCTAAAACCTTTATTGATGTCTTGGTGATTTCTCACAATCTCAGCAGTATACCAAGTTTTTTAAAAGTACTTTTTTGTACTTAACGTGTACTTATATTCAAATATCTTTGAACTTTTAAGTAGGAAGCCTATCGTACTTTCTCAAAGCAAAAGACAACATCTTTAAGGTCTTGTTTTGACATACTGTTCAGGGTTTCCCACACATAGACTATACTTGGGTTATATATTAACGTCCGCCAAAGTATATTTCGCGACCCATTTAGGTTTAATCTTTTTTTATCCGTCCGCAAGCACGACGCCATGCGATCGATTTAACTAACCCTCCCGTGCTCCACTATCGCCGTATACCAAGTTATTTAAAAGTACTTTCTTGTCTATTTTCATGGAAATATTTGTGTGCTTTTAAGTAGGCAGCCTATCCTACTTTCTCAAAGTCCAATAATGTCTTGTTTTTACATACTTTTAATTAGGGATGTCCCGATCACCTTTTTTTGCTTCCGATCATTTGATTTTGACAATTTGCCGATACCGATTTTTCCCGATCCGGTCTTTATGAAATGCATTAAAAGAAAAAAAGCATTCAAGTTGTCCCTTAAGGTTATTTTTTTATTTTAAATTTAGGTAGTATTCTTATCCAACCAATGGAGTATAGCTTCTTTTCTTTTCTACAGCAGCATTGTCATCAGTTCTAGTTGTTGCAGCATTGGTAGTCAAAACAAAAAATAAAAGACTTTCTAGTACTCCGTTAG